TCTTCTGTGACTTTGGTTTAAATAATTAAACTTATAAAACTTTATTTTTAACCCATCACATATATAAATAACTTATTTTACTGAACTCATTTATTATAATATATCGTACCTTTTAAAATAATATATATTAACTAATATATTAATATTACATACATCGAGCATGCACAGATCCTCATGAAATTTTTATATTTTTCTACTATATATATATATATATATTTATATTACATTAGATAGTATTATCTACGGTAAATATGTAACAAAATATTTTGTTATTATTAACTTGTTATTATAAATAAAGTTCTCTATTGTATATCAAACACACATAGATTTCACTTTATCTTTCAATCACTTCTCTCTTAACATATACCATGTATTAGATAGTATTGTCTGAGCTCAAATTAGAGGAAAATATGCAACGGAGATACTCCTACTAATGTGTGGAGGGACATTTGGCTTTGGGATGATCTATAAAAGATAAAATGTTTCTTGTTTTCTTAAGGGACATTTGGAAGGCTTAGAATAATAGTAACCGAGTTGTTTATAATAGATCAAGATAATAAGAATATTTTAATTGAATTTTATCTAAATTATTATTAATTTTATTTATAAATATACTTGTTAAAAACTTGAAAGTCTATATAAGGTAAAAAAAAAATATTTGATAAAAAAAATATGAAATTTATATAAAGTAATAAAATAAAATAAATTAAACTTTTATGTATTTTTAAATTTAGAATAAAATTAACCAAAAAATGGACAAAAATAAAATCATTATAGCAATTTAATTTTAAATGAAAGAAAGTAACTTTTCTATACTATTATTTATAATATAGAAATTTCTTCTTCTTCTTATTATTATTATATCAATGCATCACATGTTATATAATAAAGTGAAGATCATGTCTAGGTAGAAATTTTTTCTTATATAATAATATTTATTATTATTGTGAAAATTTTAGAAAATACAATTTTATATATTAAAATTTATAATAAGTTAATGTCAATAATAACTGTAATATCTTTTTTGTGGCCCTTATATAGAAAGAAATAGGAATTTTAGTGCAAGATTTCTTATTATAGTGAGATATGTCTCGTTATATTGAGGAAGACCATCTAGAAATCAAGTTCTCTAAAGCCTTCTCGCTGTAGTAAGGGAGTCTTGCTATAACGAGAAGTGGATAAGGTTGACTTAGCTAATACTCTTGTTGGAGCGAGGAGATTCTCGTTGCAGCGAAAATGACAGACAACAAAGAGAAAAAGATATTTGATTTTTTCACTGCAGTGAGAAGCTTTCACTATAGCTAAAATGACATGAGTGGATGGGCATTTAAGGGACCTCAACGTCGAAACTTTCATTATTTCTCATCAAAATAGTTTTCTCTTTCATTTTCTCTATTCAAAAACCTTCTCTTCTCAAAGAAACCTCTTCTGAACTCTGAATCTCTTCCATATTCGAGCTTAAACCTCTATTCTTGGAGCTTAGTTCTCCAACTTTATTCCTATTTCTCAGTGTTTTCTGATATAAAGTTTTGTATGTTGTGATACTCAAAGAAACCTTAACCCTTAAAGCAATATCCTTCATAAAAAATGTCATATTCGTCCTTTGGATCTTTAGGAAAAACTCAGCTTAAGAGACTCATATCCAGGTAAGAGGATTTGATCTCAAACCTTAACACCTTTGTACATTTTTGAATTAAAATTCATATTCTCTTAGAATGACAGATAACTAATTTTTACCTTTCAAATAGTGAGTTTGTAGATATTAAAAGAATAATAAATGAAAGAGTTTAATTTTAATAGTATAAAAAAATTATATTGTGAATTAATTAGACTGTGCATGTTATAAATATAAATTTTAAATTAATTATTTTAAATTTATTTTAATATGACAATTTATGATTGAATGATAATCTATAGTATATTTCAATTAAATATTTATATAATCATAAAAAATTATTTTTAAAACATGTGATAAAAATAATTAAAATTTTATATATAATTAATTAATTTTCTTTGACATAGATGTAGTCTTTTTTATATATTTAATGCCATTGATGTATTTTATGTTTTAAGAAATAAAAATAAAATTTTTAACTAAAATATCCTTATTAAATAATAATAATAATAATAATAATAATAATAATATATCATTATGTCTTATTTAGGTATATTTTACTGAAGGATTATTTTATTAATTTAGTATTTAATAAATATTTTTATACTGAATTAAAATATAATTTTATGTACATAAAAATAATTTAAGATTTAAAATAAAAATTATAAAATAGTATTTTTTAAAAATAGTTACTTAAAATAAAACTCTTAAAAATTTTATATTAAATAAATAATATACACATACACATAATGATAATACTAAACATAACTTTGAAATAAATATATTAAATTATAATTATTTAAGTATGCATATATATATACTACCAATTTATGAGTTATTAATGTCAAACTTATAAAGTTGAATTTTGATTTATTTAAATAAATAAATTTAAAATAAACAAGCTTGGGTAGCCAAAATCGAATAATTATAAGTAACTGAAGCCATTTATACCTTTTATATATATAAAGTTCCAATTCTCACAAGACACATGTTTAAGCAGCTTTACTTGCAAATGTTTGTTCTAATCTGTACTCTGGTGTTATATATAATCTCACAAGACACATGTTTAAGCAGCTTTAACATGCAAATGTTTGTTCTCATCTGTACTATAGTGTTATATATATAACACTAGAGTACAGATTAGAGCAAAGATTTGAATGTAAAGGTCCTTAAACGTGTCTTGTGAGAATTGGAACTGAGCAATGGTCTGCGTTTAACCTGTGAGAAAGGGACGGAGTCTCCGTAGCTTGTCTTCTTGCTGCTGATACACTCTGAGAGCATTGCACTGTAGCATCTGCAACTCAGGTAGACTCTCTCGATCTACTTACTTGATTTATGTATATGTGCCATGTTAATCATTGAATGGTTGTATGAACTACGCACTGGATCTGCTTGATTGTGTTATGCTCTTCAATTGTGACAAATTAATCAAATTACTTGATTTTCACAAATTAATCAAATTTCAGATTCAGTGAAGGGAGAATCCCAATTTTATTAATTAGATTTTTCTCGTTTCCATTCAAATTCCGTCCCTTCTAATTAGAGTTTTAGAAAATGACGAGAACAACTATTTTTATTATTAAACGAAAGAATATTTGTGGCAATAATCCTGTTGAAGTATTAGCTTCGCCCTCAGATTCCAACCTCTTGATTACATAGAAAATTTTCGTCTTTAATTAGTCAATTTTTTTCTATCATAAACCTATTTAGGAATGGAACCAGAATCAAAAAATCATTTCACTAAATTACTCGTTATAGATTAATTAAGTATGGAAATATAATTTCTTAGAGACATAAATATTTCGTATTTATTTATTATTTTCGATCTCTAAAATAAGAGAGCTTAATAATTAGAGATGAATTTTCAATTTTGTTTCTAAATTTGATGACTTTTTTCTTAATTTGCTTTTTGTCTCTTAATTCAGCAAAAATTCGCCTCTAATTTCATCTCCAAGTTAATTCCCATTTTTGTCTCTGGATGTATCTCAAACTGTACGTATAGTTAACAATTATTTTTTAAATTTTATACCTATTTTATACACATTTTTTTATGTAAATCACTGTATATTAAGCAAAATTATCATAAATTATAATTATTAAAAATTTAAATTAAAAAACCCAAGTTATATAACTGTGACATGTAATAAAACATTTCAAGAATATCACAAAAAGTAAATAGAATATATTCAAAATACAACTACAAATATAAAAGCTATCATTAATAGTTATAATTAAATTCAAATAATTTATTATTTTTAAGTGTGATTAAGGAGCTAGACTAGTAATCAAGTAAATTTTGAATTAGCTACTAAATTACAATTTAAGAAATATATTTCAATTAATAACTATTATTTTTATGCCTATAATAAATTAAATGTATGGAGTTAATACTAAGAGTGTAAATTAAAAATAATTAAAATATTATTGAATAAGTAATTTTTATTTTTATATAAGTCATTAAATATGATTGCTTTATTGTGAAATAAAGCACATTTTAAAGAAAATAATTAATTATTCTAATTAAATACATAATTAGAGAAAAAAAAGTCAATATTTGTCTCAATTTTAGTCACAAAAAATATTGACTAGTTATAGATAAGATTAAAGACGAAATAAAATTGAGACAATTGAATTTTGTCTCAGTTATATTTTATTAATGGTGAGGCAGAATTAAAGGTAAAAAATAATGAATTTTATTTTAATTCTCATCTCTACTACATTATATATATATATATATATATATATATATATATATATATATATTCCTTTTGTCAAAACTCTGTCTCTAATAAAAAGAATCGTCTCTCATAGAAATAACATTATTATTTTTCTCTAATTTCCGTCACTGCCAACATTTTCTAGCAGTGAATTATATGTTTGATAAGATATTTGATATGAAAGTTGATGTAAATGCTAAATTAATATTTTAATATTTTAATTATATTATTTTATTTAAATTTTTACAGCTTAGTCTTTTTTCTTGTTATATTCATCTAAATCCATTATTTGCTGTATTAATAACTTAGGCATTATCTAATTTTCTTGCGGAAAATCACCAATCTTTTTTTCAACCCCCACCAAAATCTTTCTTTATTTTTCTTTTTTCTTTTTCGCACCATCGCCAAAAACCCTTGTCATCCACTTCACTATTGATAAAATCCACCACTGTCACTACTCCGATCCTTCCATCTTTCCATCCTTCCATTCCAACCACAAATTTGATGGATGCACAAATCTAGGTCTAAGCAGATGTAGGTTTTGTTTGGCGGCTACAATGGAATGCATATTAGAGGAGTATGGAGTGTTATAGTTGTTGACAAGTTCTATTGCTTTATGTTTTCATGGCTTATACTCGTTGGGGATAGATCTATGGATGGTGATAGTCATGGCAAGTTATGCCGATTTGGTTTTGGTAGTTCATGAAGATTTGGACTATAGACAACGTGCAGTTGTGGTGTGACCAACGAAGAAGCGGTAAAAATGATGAAGTTTGGTTGGATTCTCAATATATTCAAGATGGTCATTGAGCTAGGTTGCTTGTGGTGGTGTCACAAAAGGGTGCATGAGGGGGATGTATGGTGACTAGTCGTAGAGATTGGGCGCTTTATTTGCAAGTTGAAGGTTGGGATAATGGGATATCCATGGCGCTGTAGGAAAGGATTGAGGTGCTGCTGGTAGGGATTAGGAAAAAGATAAGAAAATGGTGGTTTCCGGCCATTTTTGGCCAGCAAACAACGTGACAATTAAGTTATTGATAGAGAGATAAAACTAATACAAATGACCAATATTTGTCATGTAAACAAAAAGCCAAAACAAAATTTAGAAGAAATAGAAAAACAAATAAAAATCATAAATAAAATTGAAAGACTAAAGTATTATTTTTACTTTGATGCAAAGGAAGCACTGATGATACTCCAAAGGATTGTTGTGATTTGCATATAAAAGTATATGTACATTCAGTACTGATCAATTGGATTGAATACTCTATTTTAGGTGCCAGAAATTTTTGTCAACAAAAGTTTATGCTAGTGCATTTAGAATATCATAGGGGTTGAATAAATTACAGTCTTCATTATATGAAAGATGAGTAATGCTTATTTTTAAACGATAATATCCTTGTTTCATTTTATTTGTATCATTCATGCGAAAAATGACCTCCTTGTTGATATATTCATTGTCTTCTATTCTGTATCCATGGCATTCATTTTACCTTAAATATATTCTACCAATTAAAAGAGGGGATAAGATTGAAGAGAGATTCGTAATTCATTTTGTAGAATATTTTTATAGACATAAAACGGGGAAAATGAAACAAAATTTAAGTATCTATTAATATATATGATTCTTTCTTCAATTTATCTGTATTGTTTTTAGTACATTTTATATTTACATTCGGTGTATCTCGATCGTTTTTTTTTTAAATATTGTATTAGTTTTTTATTTTTGTTTTATCTTATCTGTATCTTATATTTTTATTTCCTTAAGTATGTAATGAACCATTAATTCATATTTTCTTTCATTATTTTTTAGTGACTTTTATTAAGATGAACTCCTTATTTACATTATATTCATTTATCAGGAGTTTTATGCTTCGAAAATGAACATTCCCAAGAGGAATAGCATGATTCATGGTGAAGACAAAATTAGCAAACTACCAGATCTCATTCTTGGTCGCATTTTATCCTTTCTAAAAGTAAAGGAAGCAGTTCGCACATGTGTGTTATCTACAAGGTGGATCGATGTTTGGAAATCAATCAGCAACATACATTTGGATGATAGGTGGATTAAATCCACAGTAGTGAACAACAAAGAGCACTTTGCAAAAGTTGTGAACAAAGTGATTCATCTCAATGGCAATTCAACGATCGAGAATTTCTCTCTTCTCATTTCAAGTGACAAGAAGTATGAACCATATCTAATTAATCAATGGCTAGCAGCTGTCTCAAGAAAGAATATCCAAAAGCTTCACATTAAGTATAGTGGAAAAGAAGCTTTTCGCTCATTCTTTTCATTTTTTTGTCACAACTCTTTGGTACACATGGTACTTGACATGAACTGTTCACTTATAGTACCCAACACTGTTTGTTTCCCAAACCTTCAATCTCTTAAATTATGTCGAGTAGTGTTCTTGAAAGAAGTTTATCCTCGCAAAAATGAGGTTATTTTCAGCTTCCCAGTCCTCAAAGTGATTGAAGCTATTGATTGTGAATGGTTCCAGAATTTTTGTATTGATGCTCCTCAACTTGAAAGCATTTCACTCATGACCTCTAAGAGGGTATCACATAAATCTACCATCAAGATTTTTGCAGAGCACATTGAGACATTCTCTTTCTATGGTGATCTTCTATATCACAATGTTGTCATAGAAGATCCATCCTCAGTTTTGAATTGTTCTACTCAAGTATTTCTGGAGAGTGATTACCCGATGTCCAAAATGCAAGAGTTGAGTTTTCAGACATGTATTTTTCTGAAACAATTTCATGAAGCACAATATTTGAATCTAGGCACTGGCACCAATCAGGTATGTTCTATTGTTTTGAGTCCTGAATCTATATTTTGAGCAGATAGTTTGTGTTTGCATTTCAGATTTTTTATGCTGCGAAGTATAATTATCATTGAGTACGACGTCATTGTTAATGCTTAGATGTATTTTACCTAAATAGTTCATGTTTGAGTGGTTCTACTTTGATGTTTTTCACCTAATAATTTTCTTGTGCATGCATTTATATATATAACGATGATGCACTATTTTTTTTCTCCCTTCTTCTTACTATAGTCATTATATGTTTTCTTTTTGTTCTCTAAAAGTAGTAATGCATTGTTAAATATTTACTTCAATGAAAAAAGAAAAAATGTAGTTAATTTAACCTTTGCATATACGTTTAGATACTCTTTATACCTTGTTAATTATGTTTTGCTGATTTGAAAAAATGGAAAAAGAACAATCATGAAATGATAAATTGAACTAAAAATGTAATTAAATTTACGTATGATCTTTCTAAAATATGTAAAGAATGTTATCGTAATACAGTGTGAGTTGTCCATTCATTGACTAATGATTGTAAATAGTAATTTTAGTAGCTATTCAGTTATTTTTGCTAGCAAACATAACTTTTTCCAACTTCATATGAAACGATAGTGAAAAATTCTAGTGTATTAGATTTGATATCTAAATTTTCTGTTTTAAAAATAATTAACTATCATTATAAATTTAAACAATGATATGCCTTTCAAATTTAAAAGTGTTTCTCCTTTTGAACCAGGATTCTATCATCTTTTTCCCTTTTTATTTTTCAAGTGGAATGTACAACAAAGAATAGTTAAAACTGAAAATTAAAACTAATCTCGCATTCATTCAGGAGGATAAAACTCCCTAATAAATTAAAATCTCTAATTTTCTTTCCCTTCTCAATTGTCATTTAGGTTCTTGCCTATGCTAAAGATTTGTTTACAAAGATAATCCCCAACTTCGACAGATTAGATCAGCTAGTCCTCGAGAAATTTACTATTGAAATGTTATTCAAGTTTCTCCAAAAGGCAACATTTCTTGAGATTCTCAAATTAGAAAACGTAAGTATAGAGTACCAACTACGTTTTATTTTTTTTTTCAATTTTTGTTTTGAGTATAAATTCATTGTTTTGTTTGACCAAATATTTTAGGTGGAACCATTTGATGAAGGTGACTTATACTCTTCAACAATTCTTTCTACTTGTTTACCATATAGTCTTGAAGTTGTTCTAATTTTAGGATTCAAAGGTAACGAACATGAGATACGTTTAGTCAAGTTTATTTTGGATAATGCTGAATGGTTGGAGAGGATGATTATCTCCACAGAGTGGAAGTGGAATTCAGACAGGGAATTGGAGAAGATTAAGAGTCATGTATTGGCATATGCAAAGCGTTCCAAGATTGCTGAAGTGGATTTTATAATCAATGTTAGGGGTGACAATAACCTTGAGACAAGTGCATATGGTAATAGCATTTTGAAGAAAGCACTTAGGCTGATTTAGAAAAAGGTCAATGATGACTGTAAGTATGATTTCTCTCACATATCGATCTTATGCACAAGTAACTCAGAAAATTTTATAGGAAATATCATCAAAGAAATATTTCTAAGTCAACCTTGTGTAAGATGTGGGAAATTCATATGTGAAATTATCATTTTCCTTTAGCAAATGAATGAAAGTTGTAATTGTACAATTTCACCCTGAAACTAGTATAAAGTCAGTTAATTACTATTGTTATGTATATATTTGCTATATCTGGATTGTGGGATTCTTAAACTTAATAATGGATCATTTCATTTTCGTTTAATTTTTTCAGAAATTTTTAATCATTTGCATTTTTTAACTCGTTCAAACTATTTAAACAGTTGCAAGAACTTTTACTTTTATTAATAACTATTTCGTACACATGGATATTTGGTGCAAGTGTAGTTTTCAGAAGACATTCTTGATTTTGTGTTGAAAATAAAGTTTGTATCGTTTAATCTTGTCACCGATATAGGAAATTTTGTTTATGAAAAATATTTACATTCTCCTCTAGAAATAGAAAATAACTTTGCCAGCAAATCAGATACTGAATGTGTTATTTTAAACAAAACTAGTTTTTTTTTTTTTTTTTTTATCAAATTTATCACTTCAATATTTTTCATTCTTTAATTATTTATGCAACTTCGAGCCCATATTATTATTGCATGTTAAGCATAAATACAAATGATAGATGGTATTTATCTTACAAGAACTTGTTTTAAAACAAATATATTTAAGGGAAAAATGGAGATTTCATTTATATATACTTCTTAGCAATCAATTCATTTTATACTTCAAGCGTATATTAAGTGCCAAAAAAACCCCTTATTTATAATGCTTATAAATAAATGCAGTTTTAGATTACTTTTTTTCCCTTATGATCCTTATTAGGTTTGTTGGCCTTAAGTCCTATTTTATATATAAATCATTTGTTTTCATGAACTGTAGTCCTCAAATGTCTCAAATGAGAACATTATTGCCATCTTTAACCAACTGGCGCAAATTATTTTAGGTTTGGATTTCAAAATTAAAAGTTTCTAATGCACTTTACCTTTCACACATTTGGTTGCTGAAGAATTGATGAACAGTTACTTTCATAGCTAAATTTGCAATCGAATACAAGATATATTATTATTATTATTATTATTCATGTTGTTTATCAGAAAGAGTTTGAATAGTTAGGTAAGTGTGACTTACTCAAGATTCACATTTCCTTACGGTTAACTACAACGATGTGACTTTCCATTGTCCTTTTATGAAACATAGTTCGTATCCAATATGTAAACCTTTTGAGAATCTTATGTAGCAGTCATATAATTATGATCACTCCACTGTCTAACTCTTTTCCTATCAAAATAATATTACTAATTATCTTTCACAAGGTTTATCTAAACATCAAATACAAATACTGTCTGAGAGGCAAAGTTCGCTTGCATATTACCATACTCCGTACATATTAAGAAATTGTTTTGTACTTATAATGTTAACTCACTTATGTTAAACTCCTGTTTGATAATCAATGTATATTTAACATATTACATTTTCGATATGTCGAGTACTGGGTCGTCCACCATTTTTCGATTGGAATCATACATGCATGATATATATATTCAATAAATAAATTTAGTAAAATAAAAAAAAAGCATGAGATAAACTGAAAAAGTGTAAAACTATATAAAAATAAAGTATAATTTACCCTAATTGAATAAAAGTTGATATTATAAGAAATTTAAGACAATGTAAACTATATATAAATTTTTTATGATTTATTTGACAATTAAATATCATGTAAATTATATATCGATATCATAAAATATAAAATAATTTTTAATGATCAATTACATAATTATTTAATTAACTATATAATATTATTTAGATCTTAAATTATTAAAGCAATTGTTTAAGTAATAAAAAAATATTTAAAAAATAAAAGTATATTTTAGTTAATTAATAAAATAATATTTAATAAATTAAAATTAAAAAATAAATTAAAATAAAATATCTACACATGAGTCTTAATATACACAATTGATATATACTAGTGTTATAAATCGTTACATCGAATTTTATTTATTCTTAATATAATTTAAAAAAAAAAGAAACAATTCTAAAAATTTAAGAGATAACGTCAAAATTTATATGAAATAATGTCTAAATAATATCAATAAATAAAATAAAATTAATGATAATCATAATAAAATAAATGCTTAAAAGAAAATGATAATTTTTAGATTTTAAATTATTATTATTTTTGTCATTATTATTTTTATTATTGCTTAAATAAAATTTAATAAACTTGACAGATATAGGCCCAAAACGTAGGTCATTTTATTTTTATTTCTAAATCAGACTTAGAATTTATTGTTGTTGTTGTTGGGCTAGAACAGCCAAAATCTTCTCAGATTTCTATTGTTTTTTACTTTGGGCCTCAATTGGGTCAAATTTGAGCAGCTGGTCGAAACGAGAATAAAAGTAGCATGTCATGGGCACGTGCAAGGAAGTCAGCCCAAAATCATTATGAGTTCAGACTCCTTTTATTTAGCGTAGATGAAATACCAAAGACCATTAACGAAAAATAAAATAATACTATGTAAATTATACACACACACACGACCCAAACTAGAATTGAAATCTTGCCACGAAACTTGTCGTCTTACTAAAATCTTCCATTCCCGAATCAGATGTGAAGTTTTTGAAAGTAAAAAGCAATAGAAACGATGCTTTAAATGATGACAAGAGGATTCCTTAGGAACATGGTTCCAAGGATGATTTTCACTTCATTCACAATTCACATCATTTATTTTCATTTTCCTAGTTCTTTTACATGTATTTGCGTGCTCTATGGGTTGGACTGTGATCAACTCTGATCATGAGAGTTTTTTTTCTTATGCTTTATGTTTTACCGTGAGTACATGCTTTACGGGGTCAAATTTTTGTCTTCTTTCCATTTTCATGTATGAGGTTTTGGCTTTGACACGTCAATGACTATAACTACATATTTTACTTCGATTACAAGCGTTTACTGATCTTAATTAATCACCGATTTAAGTTTATCTTGAATTGAGTTATAATTTTATACACTAACGATTAAACAACTATCTTTTCACTATCTAACAATTCTAACACAACCTGGGCTTTATTAGATATTTCATGCATACCCCACAATATTGATAGCATTTATGTACTCAATCGGATACAATGTCAAGTACATATAACAATAAATGCACCTTAACTAACAACACTTATGTGAATGTGTTTAGGTTTTTAATAATATATACTAATTTAAAATTTTGCTTCATCAAAATAACAAAAAGTGTTTTAAAATAATTTAAATTCTATATGATCGATCACTTAAACAATTAGTTTTTATTATAATAATTTAAAATTATTTAATTTTATGTTACCAATTACTATAATCCATGCTCTTGTGATTGAACTTCAACAAAAAAAAATGTTATAGAAAAAAAATGAAAGAATGAGAGAAAAGATTTTAAAGGCTTATTATGCTGCTAATGCAAGACATCAAAGTAAAGTCCAAGTCCAAGATCTATTACAAGGCTTAAGAGAGTTCATGACAAGAGTTAGATAAAAAAGATTAAAAAGCTTTAAAACACATGTTGAACTCTTAGCTAGAAGCTCAACTCCAATGTGAGGTATGATACCTAGATGAAGCCCGACACTTGAGTTATAAAGTGTACACATGAGAGGAGAAGAAGAGTTATTTATTTTGGTACTGTGTAAAAATATATATTATTGACTACAACAGACTAGAAATCATACACTTGAAGTTAAATATGTCGACTTAACCTATGTAATATAAATCTTGTATTAAAGGGATTAGCTTTTGTTTTTAATTTGTCAAGTTCAAGTAGACAAAATCCTAAACTAAATTGTATTAAAACACTGAAAATCATTTAAGGAATATACGTTACATTATTGAAATCAAATTATTGTGAATATTTTTTCTACAGTTATTATTTATAATTATTGATCTTGTCAAGAATTCATATATTTTTGTGACGATCTCTTTGACTTATCATACATTCTTGTTTGTCACTCTATTTCTACCATATTTGCTTCTTCTTAATTTGTTTTCAAGGTAATAATTCTATTTTTTTCAAATCTAAATTTTAGACTTCATAGTCTTTTCTTTTAAATAAATTTCAGTGTGTGTTCAAAATATCTTTTACTCATATATAATAATTTATAAATATTTTTTAGTAATTCTTAAGTCAAAATTATAATTTACAATGTACCTTTTCGTTTTATTTTTAAAACATTCTATGTTAAGATCTGTAATTTGAGATATGTTTTAATCTTAGTTAAGTCTAAAATTTAAGAGGCTTAGAATAATCCTCATTAGCTGCATAATAATGCAACATTATTACGTCCATCTATAGAAGAAGGTAATCATAACAAAAATAAAAAGATAGATAAAAATGTAGAATGGTATAACACCCTAACTTCTTAGTTAATTTTATTTATATTAAATTTAGAGACAACTTAGAGACAAAATTCACTTTATATTTAGAGACAAAAATACTTTCATCAAAGAGACAAAATATAAAACTTAGAGGTGGACAGTTTAATAGAAACAAAAATTCATCTCTCAAACTAGAGACATAAACTAATATTTAGAGACAATAGCCCTTCATATCTAAATAATGACAGCAGAAAGAATATATTTAAAATTGAAGGTATTTCAGCACATTGTAATCTATTATGATATAACAATAGGTGTATCATAGGTGAAATAATAGCTTCTAGAGTGAAGTCATTATACCCAGAAATAAAGATGTTGAATGTTTTGAATTGGCACGGTCTACATCGTGCTAGCATGCTACGTGAAGATCGAGGACTTCCTGAGAGGCTTTTCATTGATGTGCTTTTGTAACATTTAAAAAAAAATCAAAATTATTCGTGGAATATGAAAATTTGAGTCTTCACTATAATAATCATGTGCTTCTGGGATGCTTTATAACGCAGCTGGTGTGATGGAGACCCAAAAGGTAATGTTGGGCCAGAGGAAATGTTAGTCCGAGAAGCAGTTACACGGCCCAAAGAATGGCTTGTCTATTTGAGAAGAAAGAAGAAATCAGAAAATGACAAATGAAATGTTGTGCTGGCAGAGTTAGTTAGGGAGAAAGAATAATATTCTATTATTTAGGCACGATGAGACAGGGGTAGAATGTTATGTTGATTCTGTTCTTTCGCTATTGCAGGATAGAGCAGCGATTGCTCTATTAGGAGCCTAGCTCTGGGGTATTAGGAGATTTTGCTCTTCTAGTGCATTTTATTCCGTTCGTTTCCGTTACTTATTTTAAACAATATTCTCCCTATATTCGCAGCCTTTTTTTGTTCCTGTTCCCTATATTTGTATTCGCGTTTGTGTGGTTTGCAACAGTGGTCCGACCTGTCGGATCCTTGGGCGGTGGATGCCACCTAAGAAGAAAAAACAGACAAGGTCAATATCAGAATCAGCTGAATCAGAGACTGGGGATTCAGTGATGGATTCTAGACTTGAGACTGTAGAAAGAGAACTTTCAGGAATGAGAATATCAATGGAGGCGATGCGTCTCCAGGCTCACGAACAGCAGAAAGCTATAGAGGCGATGAGAAAAGAGAATGTCGAGACCCAATCGAAGATCTTGGAAATGCTATCAAAGAACTCAGAACGAAATAGCAGAGGTTTGGAGGATGAAGGAGAACGCTCCGAGAACCAGAAGAGTCCAGGTGGTGACTCACTGGAGGAGTCGCAAGGACGCAGTGGATTAGGTCTTAAGAAGTTACAAGGAGAAGCATTGGATGAATTTCGTCAGTCGGTTAAAAAGGTTGAACTACCCATGTTTAATGGAGATGACCCTGCAGGTTGGATTTCTAGGGCAGAGGTCTACTTCCAAGTTCAGGAGACTAGCGATCAAGTGCGTATCAATTTGGCACAACTATGTATGGAAGGGGGGACTATACATTTTTTCAACTCTTTGATGAATGAAGAAGAGGACATGACATGGAAACAATTTAAAAGAGCTTTGTTGGATAGATATGGAGGTTTGGCGGAGGGGAATGCATACGATCAATTGACAGCACTTCGTCAGGTTGGAGATGTCAAACAGTACATTAGAGACTTCGAATTTTTTACTGCACAGGTACCTAAAATTCCAGAGCAACAGTATTTTGCTTATTTCCTTCACGGCTTGAAGGAGGAGATTAGAAACAGGGTAAGAAGCCTGCACGCGTTGGGGACGCTTTCCAGAGCCTACCTAATGAACGTGACGAGAGCAGTAGAGATGGAGTTGCAGGTGAAGGGCAAAACTGTAAGTTCGTATGGAAAAGGAGACTCACGTGCCGGGTCACAGTGGTATACGAGATCCAACGTGAATGTCAATGCCAAGAACCCAATAAGGGGGGACCGAGGTGTAAAAGGCTACGGGTCTGGAAGCGGTACTAATGGGCCTGGCTCTAATCACAAAAAAGAATTTTTAGACAGATCTACAAATGGGCCAAAGGATAGAGGGGTTAAACATTTATCCTACAATGAATTGCTGGAACGTAAGCAAAAAGGTTTGTGCTTCAAGTGTGGAGGTGTGTATTCTCCCCAGCACATATGTCCGGAGAAGCATTTGCGAATTATGTTAGCTGATGACGTGGAGATAGGAGAAAAAGACAACACATCTGAGGAACACTACGCGTCCAAAGAAAAAGAAGAACACGATGGGTGGGGAGTGCAGTGCACTCAGTCTGTTATTGTTATCGCAATCAAAAGGGGAACAACCCCAAACACTCAAATTGGAAGGTAGGATCCATGGAATCCCAGTATGTGTGCTCGTTGATAGTGGAGCAATGCATAATTTCATCTCTCGAAGGCTTGTTGAGGCGCTGGGATGGAGAAAAGTTTCCACAAAGAACATGCGGATTCTAATGGGAGATGGGCGAAGAACCGAAACAAATGGCATCTGTAAAGGGCTTAAGATGGAATTGGGGAGCATGCATTGCGTGGTGGATGCCTTGCTATTTGACCTTGAAGACATGGATATGATTTTAGGGATGTCTTGGTTAGCATCGTTGGGAGAGATGATAGTAGATTGGAAACTCCAAACAATGAAGATTAATGTAGGGGGTACCTTAGTGCTGTTACGAGGAGCGCAAGATGTGCGTTCGGCCCAGATGGCGTTAAAGGGTGTCTTGGTTGAAGATTTTGACTGGGGCATTGGCGAAAGGATGGCGGCGAAAGATACTAACACCAAGGGAAAAGAATCAGAGTTGAGGCACCTGAACTCACAATAGAAGGAAGAGTTAGAAATAATTTTGAACAAATTTAAGATTATTTTTCAAGAACCTAAAGGGCTTCCCCCTAAGAGGGCCCAATCCCACCGCATAACTCTTCTACCTGACCATGGTCCAGTAAATGTGCGTCCATATCGGTACGCATACCACCAGAAGGATGAAATAGAGAAGCAGGTCAGGGAATTATTAGAAAACGGAGTTATTCGTCCCAGCCAAAGTGCGTTTTCCAGCCCAGTTATATTGGTTCGTAAGAAGGATCAGTCGTGGCGCATGTGCGTAGACTACCGAGCATTGAATAAAGTGACAATTCCGGACAAATTTCCTATACCAGTGATAGAAGAGTTGTTGGATGAACTTCACGGGGCTAAATTCTTTTCGAAATTGGACCTTAAATCCGGATACCACCAGGTGCAAATGCAGGAGGAGGACATCCCAAAAACGGCCTTTAGGACGCACGAGGGACATTACGAATATCTCGTAATGCCCTTTGGACTAATGAATGCACCATCCACATTTCAGGCCCTGATGACCGACATATTTCATGGAAGGCTCAGAAGATATGTGCTGGTTTTCTTTGACGATATCTTAATTTACAGTCCGAGTTGGGAATCTCATTTGGAGCAATTAAAGGACGTATTGGAGGTTATGAGGACTCATCAGCTTTTTGCTAACAAAAAAAATGTTTGTTTGCTCAGAAAAGTGTTGAGTACCTAGGACACATCATTTCAAACCAAGGAGTAGCGGTAGATCCTGAAAAGGTACAAGGAGTGTTAAATTGGCCCAAACCTCGGAATGTTAAAGGAGTAAGGGGTTTTCTCGGCCTCACGGGATACTATAGAAAGTTTATTAGAGATTATGGGAAGGTGGCTAAACCATTAACAGAACTTACCAAAAAGGATTCGTTCAAATGGAATGATGCAGCTCAAGGTGCCTTTGAGGAGCTAAAAAGGCGGATAACAACAGCCCCGGTGTTGGCATTGCCAAATTTTGATGAAGAGTTCACAGTGGAGTGTGATGCTTCTGGATTAGGAGTGGGAGCCATTCTTATGCAAAAGAAACATCCAATCACATTTTTTAGTAAGGCGTTGGGGGTGAAGAATCTAAGCAAGTCAGCATATGAAAAAGAGTTAATGGCCATCGCTTTGGCAGTTAACCATTGGCGGCCATATCTGCTGGGTAGGAAATTCATGGTGACAACAGATCATAAGAGCCTAAAACAACTACTTCAACAAAAGGTGATAATGGGAAATCAGCAAAATTGGATGGTGAAACTCCTTGGCTATAATTTTGACATTGTGTACAAACCGGGAATTGAAAATAGAGGGGCAGATGCCTTATCAAGGAAGGAAGAGACCGGAGAAATACGACTGTTAACATATTATCCATTGTGGTTAGATATCCAAGAAGTTATTGCAGAGGTGCATGAAGATGATAGGCTAAAGGAGATTATTGAGCATTTGAAAGCAGGGAGAGAGGATCATACAGGGTTCAGCTACAAACAAGGTATCTTGTTTTATAAAGATAGGCTAGTTATTTCAGAGAAGTCTCCTTGGGTCTCAAAGCTACTGGAAGAATATCATTCAACACCTCAAGGAGGGCATTCGGGGTATTATAGAACATATCGGAGGATGGCAGCAAACCTGTATTGGAGAGGAATGAAAAATACTATACAACAGCATGTGAGATCATGTGATACATGCCGACGACAAAAATATCTAGCCACATCACCAGGGGGTTTGTTGCAGCCATTGACCATACGGAAAAAAATTTGGGAGGATGTTTCAATGGATTTTATAACGGGGCTGCCTCGATCTAAGGGCTATGAAGCTGTTTTTGTAGTGGTGGATAGATTATCTAAATACAGTCATTTCATCCCTTTGAAACACCCATATACTGCAAAGGTGTTAGCTGAGGTGTTTGTGCGTGAAATAGTGCGGTTACATGGAGTACCCAAGTCAATTGTGAGTGACAGAGACCCCATCTTTATGAGTCAATTCTGGAAGGAGTTCTTTAGACTACACGGAACTACTTTAAGCATGAGCACGGCCTACCATCCGCAAACGGATGGTCAAACCGAGGTGATTAATAGGTGTTTGGAGACTTACTTGCGTTGTTTTATAACAGATCAGCCTAAAGAGTGGGTTCATTGGCTTTCGTGGGCTGAATATTGGTATAATACCACATTTCATGCCTCCACTCAAGTCACTCCTTTCGAAGTGGTATATGGTAGGAAACCCCCTTCTTTAATCCGGGGAACTCAAGGAGAAAAAAGGGTTGAGGCAGTACAGAAGGAACTATGGGAACGTGATGAAGCTTTGAAACAGCTGAGAGAACAATTGCAGAAGGCACAAGAACGCATGAAAGTTCAACCAGATCTCAAACGACAGGAATGAAGTTTTGACATAGGGGAATGGGTGTTCTTAAAGCTAAAACCTCACAGGTAGAAGTCAGTTCATACAAGAATCAATCCCAAGCTCTCAGCAAGGGAGTACGGTCCATTTGAAGTAATTGGTAAGGTGGGGGTAGTAGCTTATCGTCTAAAGTTACCAGAAACAAGCAGGATACACCCAGTTTTTCACGTATCATTACTTAAAAGGGCAGTAGGGAACTACAGAGTGCAACCTGAACTACCTGCAGGTCTAGGGGAAACAGGAGAAGACATTTGGACTCCTGAGACTGTGTTGGCTTCAAGGGTGATTGATAAACATGGTGAAAAGGTGAGACAGTGGTTGATTCAGTGGACAGACAAACCAGTAGAAGAGGCTACGTGGGAGAATGCAACTGACATCCGGAGTCAATTTCCACATCTGCATCTTGAGGACAAGATTCTTTTTGATGGAGGGGGAAATGATGGGGACCCAAAAGGCAATGTTGGGCCAGAGGAAATGTTAGTCCAAGAAGCAGTTACACGGCCCAAAGAATGGCTTGTCTATGTGAGAAGAAAGAAGAAATCAGAAAATGACAAATGAAATGTTGTGCTGGCAGAGTTAGTTAGGGAGAAAGAATAATATTCCATTATTTAGGCACGATGAGACAGGGGTAGAATGTTATGTTGATTCTGTTCTTTCGCTATTGCAGGATAGAGCAGCGATTGCTCTATTAGGAGCCTAGCTCTGGGGTATTAGGAGATTTTGCTCTTCTAGTGCATTTTATTCCGTTCGTTTCCGTTACTTATTTTAAACAATATTCTCCCTATATTCGCAGCCTTTTTTTGTTCCTGTTCCCTATATTTGTATTCGCGTTTGTGTGGTTTGCAACATGGTGTGTGACAATTTTGTCCCCAAATAAGAAAAATAGTACAAAGTATATGATATGAATCATTTACAAGCTTCTCAACAGTCTTCACCGTCTCTTATATTATCCCACCTGCTTCTAAGTGATAGTTCACTATCTATTGGCTTGGTTTAAGCTTAAGTGCAGCACTGCAAAAATTCCACAACAAACATAAACAAAGGTAAACAAGTAAAATAAGGAAAAGTGACATGATTCAAGTGATTATTATTGGGTGCCGTTGATTTTAAAATTAAATAGAATTGATTTTGATAGATGAGATATGTGACAAACTTGATCCTAGTCATAAAGTTTTATTGGAACATATGTTTTTCATTAAAAAAAAATGTAAAAATCAATTATCTAACAATAAAACAAACAAACACTAACCTGTTGATACAGTAACGCTTTCCTGTGGGTGGAGGACCATCATCAAACACATGTCCAAGATGAGCATCGCAAACTGCACAAAGAACTTCCTGGCGTGGCATGAAAATAATTGACAAATCTAACTTTGATTTCACATTGTTTCCAATTGGCTGGTAATAGGATGGCCACCCAGTTCCACTATTAAATTTAGTAGATGATCTAAAATGGAAGTGAATTGGATAAGATGATTGAGGTCAGTGTAAGAAAATGACATTTAGATATATACACATACAAATATAAAGTAGTACTTACTCAAATAAAGGTGTGTCACAACATATGCAATGGTAAGTCCCTGAAGTTTTGGTATTCCAGTACTCCCTATAATAAATTGAAAATATTGATGAATACAACAGAGACATGAGAGTAAATCCTAGCAGTCTATTTAATCATCTGTCTTTATCCATTATATTTACAGACATCCTTTGATGACTCAAAATTACAAAGTTTATAGGAAAATAACTAAGAATGATTCCGAGGCCTGAAAATACAGTCACGGAGCAAAAATATGTAATATCCCATTTTACAAGAAAGCACTAACAAACACAATCTCTTCAATTTTGGGTAAGGATCATAATGACTATTATTATTGGAGTACCATCTATCTAGTGTCCTGTAATCATCTCTTTATCAGTCCCCAATAGTTATAGAAGTAGACTTAAGACATGAGAATATGTAGAATGTTGCATGACCTTGCCTTGAACTAGAGACATTACATATCAAAGTTAAAAAGTATACTAAAATTTGGCATCACAGTCAGAAAAAATGACATACTTCTCAGCAATAAATGACTAAATCTTGCACAATATTAAGAGCAACAAGAGACAGTTATGTGATATCAAATGCCTGATTTAGCCTAAATGATTTGGCATCACAGTCAGAAAAAATGACATACTTCTCAACAATGAATGACTAAATCCTGCATAATATTAAGAGCAGCAAGAAATAGTTATGTGATATCTAATGCTAAACAACTGTAATCGATGAGGTGTGTTCAAACTTGTATCATTTTAGAGTTGGTTAACAGAACATAGCAATCCAGGAAAATCAAAATAAAGAGAAATCAGCTAATTCAGTAATAAGCAAATATATTGTAAATCTTGCAAAACAAAAATGCCAAATGCCTCCATGAATAGCAAAGCATGACTACGAAGCCTACTGTCCTAAGCTATAATAGCAATTCGAAAACACACCCAGTAAAAGCTCTCTCAGTCCCTTTTTGACGAGTAATATAGAATTGTTCATTTGTCAACCGCTTCTTCCACTCTTCACCGCTTAAAGATTTATAATCAACAGTACCAGCTGCTGCAAGGCACAAAAAGAAAAAACTGTTGGAAGGCCACTCACAATAATTATTAACTGGAATGAATATAAAGTTTTCATAAAGTATATTAATTCTAGAAACATTCAAACAATTTAAAAAGCAATTAGAACTTTATTTCTACATCACCATTTTAATGTGTGTATATGCGTGTCACTCTCTATACTTGTCACTCCATCCCTCCAAAACCTTCCTCCCAAACACACCTTAAGAAAACATCCTTCAACCCCGACAAATATATCCTATGAAATTGTGTCACCTGAATTACGATAAACTGTTCCTTCAATTTTAATTTCATCAAGTAACTCACTTGCTCAACAAAGCTTTCTTTTCAAATTGAGCAGAACAAAACTACTACTGCAATCAACAAATTAAGATAAAAGAAAATCGGAGAGAACCCAATTGAATATATAATCTTCACCTGCTTCAGATTGAATGTTGTCTGCTTGTTGTGACTGGGAAGAAGCAGATGAACCCATTGCCCGAATTGAGGAACAAACTCTTCTGGGTTTGGAATGAGCACGTGAAGGCCACAACAAAGACTTGGAATCAAGCCTCTGAATCAAACTTTTAGAAGGAATATGCACTGTTGGTAAACTCAAACTTTGAGAAGCCATTGTTCATAACATTTAGGTAACGGTTTTCTATACTTTACTAATAAATAAAATAATGGTATTGTTAGTGGTTCGATTTAATGCCACGTAACATTGTATTAATTAAACATGATGCTCTATTTCATTAGGTTGATTTAGTCCATCTGATGTAAGTTTGATTGAAATTGACGGACATGATTGCCTGAACATTGATAATTCAGTGTGGTTGGGAATACAGAAACTTTCGTTTGTGATAAGTGGAGAGTGGGAGAGTCAGTGACAACTGGCTATGTGTTCGCCACGTGGAGATTTGGATGCCGCGAAGGTCATGTGCTCTACTTTAGAAGTTGTGTGTACTACTATGAAAGCTTAGAGTGAATTATTTTAGGTAATTTATTGTAAATAATATTTTTAATATAATATGCAATCAGTTATTAAATAAATTATCAACATGTTTTAATAACTTTGTATGTTAATTTAATTATTAATTTTATAAAAAATTATTTATAAACAAGTGGACATAAATGGCTATTCCTCTTAACTTGCATTATTGTTAAAAACTTACATATATGTTATAATTATTTGTTTGACTAAATTATTTATTTATACTTGTTATAATATTTTTAGGTTGCACAGGCTTAATTTAAATGTAAAAAATTAATTTAGAAATATAAAATAGATTAAAAATTTGTCATATGTTATAAAAGTAAAATTTAAAAAAGTAATAAATTTAAATTTAATAGTTGAGATGGAAGCATGATTATTTATAATTTTTTCAAAATACAAAAAAAAATTCAGTGAAATTTACACTTAATAATTATAATATAATATTTAATATTTTTAATATAATGTATTTTTATTATGATTAAAAATAAAGTTTTGGTTAAGATAATTTATTTAATAATTTATTATAAATTATATTTTTAATATTATAGTTTATACACTATTTTAAGCTACTTAATAATTAAAATTTTACTATGCAGCTTATATTTTATTGCATATAGAAAATACATACAGCTACCCATTAACCCATATTATTAAGTAGAATTATCAAGGTCAACTAAAAGATTGTACTATTTTATAATTTCCTTTTTTAACAATTTGTTTATAAATAGTAATACATGAATCTTGTTTATTATTAGCATATAAACTTTTAAACTTTTTTCAGTTACTTTTTATACATTTGAATAATTATAAATTAAATATGATTTCAATTACAAATCGATTAGCTTTTTTTAAATTTTGTGATAATTATAGATTTTTATATATTCTTCATAAAGATTATTAAATATTAAAATTAATATGATAAAAATTATTATGTATTTTATATGTATAAATTTTAAAATAAAAACTACTACGATATATTTAAAACCTTAGAAAATATAACATTATAATTATATTAACAAATTAATTATCTTGTTATATTTAACCTCCTTTGAGCATAAATTACTTTTAAATTTTGAAATTTGTATTAATATTGACATTATTTTTGATCAAATTATGAAGTGAATATTAATATTGACATTATTTTTTATAATAATAATGTAAATATTGTGTGATTAGGTGAGGATGCATTTGAAAAGAAGGTTGACCAAAATGGGCTTTTGTTGGTCAAAATTTATGAGAAAGAGAATTTGTAAGATGAAAAATTATAGCAACTGGGTGTTATTGATAAGAGATCAACTGGAGGTAAAAATGTGACACAAAAGAGTTTATTGTCAAATCTTATGGCCTGATTGTCGGGGCTTCTCATGGATCAGACGAGAATAATCACGTATTGAATCAAGAACTAAAATTCCTTCAATACAATGTTGTTGTTGAGGTGATAGTGTAGGAAAGAATTAATATTAGGAGTACATTTCGTAAGATAAGAAGGAAGAAGCATGGTTTCAACTCCAAGTTACGGGCTCAATCTAAATTTATGAAAAAAATTATATTAAGGGATCAAAGCTTTGATCAAATACTTAGGAAATGTTTCTTGATAGTTGCTTACAGTAGAACCTTTGAAAATATCAATTGTGAATTGGATATATGATCCCTTATAAAATGTTGATATTTAACAAAAAAAAAAAAAAAACAATTTCAACAATATTTCATTTATAATTACAATACAATAAACTATTTGTTATGAATTATTATATAAGTGAATGTCCATATTCATAACTTCTCTTTATTCTTTATAACTTACGATTTTGTAATTGTTTTGTTTAATTCTCATTCAAAGAGATACGATTCTTCAGTTATAGATTTAGGCCTATAAATAAATGTCTCATTTGTAATGAAGATATGTGAAATGAAATTGAAATTCTTTCTTCCTCTCTCTATTCTTCCTTATAATTTTACGTTCATTTTATACCACGTTATCAGCACGAGACTCTAGTACACACTTTTTCAAGAAAGGAACATTGTTGAATAAAGATACGATATTATTTTTTCTTTCTTATAGAAATATATCATTATTTATTTATTGTAATCTCAATTAAAATTTTGTGGAGAAAAGATTTTTGATGAGTATACGTTCGAAGAAAAAACATTCTCAACTTTTCACGCACGTGCTCCTGCATTAGAAATATTGTGAAAAATAATTAAAAAAATATTCCAAATTTATTCTTGTTTCCTTGTGGTTGAATAAAATAATGAGGTTTTGATAAAAATCACGAACCTCGTCTAATTGGCATTGCTCCATTCGCAGAAGTGAATGTAACAACTCGTGACTATTGTAACTATGCACAAACTTACTATCGTGATAATGATTATGGACATGGTCGTTATATAATTAGAAATATACATTTTTCACAATAGAAATGAAAAAATAGTGAGAAAATTGAAAAGGATAAATGTATCCAAAGTGGTGAAAATACAAAAAATATATGCGTTATGGAAGTAAAGGTCATTGATCATGTATTTGTTGTACACCAAAGCATCTTATTGATCTTGGTCAAGAATCACTTAAAAATAAGGAAAAAGATAAGAGATAAATTTTATTTGTGAAAATGATAATAATTTTATGATCATATGGACGTTACCTACTTAGATGTTGCTAATCATTTTGCTGATGAAGATAAAAAAAAAAGACTCTATTTGTCCATGCATTTTTATAAAAAGATCTTATAATAAATTTGTAATAATTGTTGTTTATGTTGTTGATTTAAATATCATTGGAACTCCTGAAGAGATTTCAAAAACAGTAAATTGCTTAAAGAAAGAATTTGAAATGAAGGATCTTGGAAGGATAAAGTTTTGTCTTGGATTACAACTTGAATATGTAAAGAATGAAAATTTTTATGTATCAAGAAACTTATACCTCAAAAGTGTTAAAATGATTTTATATGAATAAATCACATCCCTTGTGTACTCTAATGGTTGTAAGGTCACTAGATGTAAATAAAGATCTTTTCAAACCTCGGGAGCAGGATGAAGAACTACTAGATCCTGAAGTATCTTATCTTAGTGCAATTGGAGCACTAATGTATCTTGCTTGTTATATATGACATGATATATCATTTGCTGTTAACTTATTAGTAAGGTATAGTTCTTCACCTACAAGAAGACACTAGAATGGAGTTAAACATATATTTCGTTACCTTAAAGGTACAATGAATATGGGTTTATTTTACCCAAACAAATCTAAATCTAAATTGATTGGTTATGTAGACTTGGGTTTTTTGTCTGGCCCATATAATGGTAGATCACAAACAAGTTATTTATTTATATGTGATGATATAGCCATTTCATGGAAATTTGTGAAACAAACTATAACGGCTACATCATTCAATCATGCAGAAATTTTAGCATTACATGAAGCAAGTCAAGAATGTGTCTGGTTAAGATCTATGATTTAACATGTGCAAGAAACTTGTGGTTTATCTTCAGAAAAAATGACACTAATAATTATATGCAAAGATAATGCTGCATGTATTACTCAATTAAAAAAAAGGGTACATTAAAGGAGATAGAACAAAGCATATTTCTCCAAAATTCTTTTTTTTATCCATGATCTTCAAAAAAATAGTGATATAAATATTCAACAAGTTTGTTCATGTGAGAATCTAACAAATATTTTCACATAGTCACTTTCAAGTAAAACTTTTGAACAATTAGTTCACAGGATTGGACTTCGTCATCTTCGAAATGATTGTCCACATGAGGAGAGAATTAAATACGCTCTACACTCTTTTTCCCTTAGCTATAATTTTTGTCATTGAATTTTCTTAGCAAGGTTTTTAATGAGGTAACATGTAATAACGTATTAAATAATAATATATATTTTCTTAGGCTTTTATCTCATTGGGTTTTTCATAATTAGATGTTATGAAACATATTCTCAAATAATGGACATTCAAGAGGGAGTTTTATGAATTATTATATGAGTGAATGTTCATATTCATAACTCCTCCTTATTCTTTGTAACTACTTTGTTTAATTCTCATTCAAAAAGATATGATTATTCGGTTATAGATTTAGACTTATAAATAAGTGTCTCATTTGTATTGAAGATATGTGAAATGAAATTAAGATTCTCTCTTCCTCTCTATATTCTTCTTTCTTATAATTTTACGTTTATTTTATAACACTATTTTAATTAAAAATTCAACACAATTTGCAGACAAATAAGATATTATAAGTAATTTTATTATATTATATTATTTTTATTTTATGATATATATATATATATATAAATATATATTTGAGTTCTTAAAAACAGTGATCAATAAAAATAAATTTATTTATTTTTATAAATTTAAATCACATCAAGTTTTTTTTAATCGTACTAAACAAGTCTAAATTTAATTTAAACTCAAAACTTAAATTTCAAGTCTTATATTCTATTGAGTCAACCTAAGCATACATATTTATAATTTTCATATTATTTGACTTAAAAGACTCATAAACCTTAAAATATCAATTAATGTATAACATGTACATAATTATAATTCTTATAATTAAGTAATAATGTACTGTTAAAAATTGAGAACAACACATTTTTTTATAATATATATTTTATTATTATTTAAAATTTACTAAAAATTATAAAAATCATATAAATATTATTTTTTAATTT